CAAATTTCTAGTAGTGTTCAAAATTTCATTGAGTAAAGTGTTTTTAGAAAAAGTTTAGAGTCGACTCTTTAATAAAATATTTGACTTTAGGCATTAAATAGAGTCGACTTTACATTGTAATAGTTGATTTTCATTTTTAATAATTGACTCTTAAAAAAATTATTTTATATTTTTATTTGAAATATTTATATAAACTTAAATGAGTAGTGCTACGGGCACTCGCTTTTTACACTCGCTTTTTACACTCCGGCTAACACTTCCCCTTTCATTGGGCCACGTAAACTTCTTTAAAGCTTTCAAGCGCGACCTCTTTGCCACCAAAATAACGTGGCCCAATAAAAGAAAAAGTGTTGGCCGGAGAGTGCAGGAGGCGGGTGCCCCTACTATTGCTCAACTTAAATATATGTACATATTATTTTTTAAAATTATAAATAAAATTTCACTAATGTAATTATACTAATTAATATATTAAATGTTAAATAATATTTAATAAAATAAAAAAATATATTAAGAAATTAAAATTTGAAAAATAAAATTTGAAATATATTAAATATTAACTAATATTTAATTTAGGACGCTTAACACATGGTACAGACACCTTGAATAACGTGTCAACACCGCCGTGTCGGTTTCCAAACTTCTTTTGTAATTTCTTCAATGATAAAATTGCAGACCTGGTCCTCAAAATTTTATAAAATGAGCAATTTGATCCCAAAATTTACGATTCATTCATTTAACTATTAATAAATTTATACTAATGTAATTATATTAAGTAATATATTAAATAATAAATAATATGTAATAAAGGAATAAACATTTATTAAGAAACTAAATTTTAAAAAATGAATTTTGAAGTATATATGAATCAAGAAATAGGCGAGAGATGGCAAATGAAAGTTTTACCAATATTGTACATGTCGGTGATAAGCTTGGATTTTAAATTTTGAACATCTTTTAGTAACATCGGGTATGATGTTGAATGGAGGGCAAACCTTTTAGCAACATGGGACATGTTGCTGATTGAAGGGCAAATATTTTAACAACATGAAATATGTTGTTGAAGAGGCTATATATACTCCCACCAACTCCACCGACCATAGACCGAGCATTTCTCCTCCATTTCTTTTCTTCTTCAGCAATTTTCCTTCTGCATGTCCGCATGATGCCTCTCCTCTATTTCTCAACCTTGCTTTTCCACCAATTTTGCAAAAATCCTCCATATGTTACTAATTGTTTATCCATAAGTTATATCATATATTTCTTTATTTTTGTAATGAAATTCTCATACATATATATATAATTACATTAATTTTTATTAAAATTATCTAAATATGTTAATAACTAATGTAAATATATTAATTAATTTGCCATGTGTTAAATAAAATTTAATAGATGAAATAAAACCAATTAATAAATTAAATTATATTTATAAAAATGAATTTTTTAAAGATTAAGAATTATTTAAAATATAATAATTTTAATTATTGGGTGGTGAGACGGGAGTGATTCTGATTTCAAAGTTTAGCAACATGATACATGTTGGTGATGAGGAGTGAGATTCAAATTCAAATGGGTTTTAACAACATGGTCTAAGATGCTGACAGGGGGTAAACTTTCAGCAACAAGGGCTATGTTACTGAAAGTTTTTTATATACCCCACCATCTCCATGAATTCTGCAATTCTCCTGTTGCATGGCTTCCTTCCTCATGTGGCGTGCTGTAACTTCTTCTGCTTTGCGCGCTTCTCAACCTCTCTTCTTCTTTTTTTTTCTTTCTATAACCACATGTATTCTTCAATTCTCTTCCCGCATGGTAGCTTCTTTCTCCTCGCGTGGCCTGCTACAACGTCCTCAGATTCGTGTGCCTCTCAACTAGCCTCTTTTTTCTTCTTTTCTTTTTTTTTTTTTTTTTCTGGTAGCAAATGTATTCTACAATTCTCAATCTGGATGCCTTCCTTCTCTTCGCATGGCCTACTGCAAATGGGCGAAGATCTACATGCCTCTTAGCTTCTTTGTTTTTTTTTTCTTTGTTAACACATGTAATCCATATGTATATATATCAATAATTGAATACATTTAAGCATATTTAAATTATATTTTTGTAAATATT